CGGTTCAGGGACTTCCATAGCCATTTCTACATTAAGAATCTATACTGGAGACACCTAAACTGATTTTAGGAGGGAGGCCTTGTGATAGAAGCATTAGAGGCAGTAGTGAACAAAGAAAAACGAAAAACGCTGACAGAAACTTACAAAACAGTCTGGGGCCATAAAATTGTAGTCAAAGAACCTGATAGTATTACGCTAAGCCTTGTCTTTTTTTATCTTTATTTATTATTTTTGGCTGCGTTGGCTTTTTTTGTTGTTGTTGCACGCAGGCTTTCTGTAGTTGCTGCAAGCGGGGTCTACTCTATTGCGGTGTGTGGGCTTCTCATTGCGGTGGCTTCTCTTGTTGCGGAGCACAGGCACGCGGACTCAGTAGTTGTGGCTCACAGGCTCTAGAGCGCAGGCTCAGTAGTTGTGGCGCACAGGCTTAGTTGCTCCACGGCATGTGGGGTCTTTCCTGGACCAGGGCTCGAACCCGTGTCCCCTGCATTGGCAGGCGGATTCTTAACCACTGTGCCACCAGGGAAGTCCTGCATTGTCTTTTTACAAGAAAAATAGCGATAAAACATCTAGAGAAATATGGGGATGGATTTAGGGATTATAATTTAAGAATTGCATAAGGTATCTGTTGTGCTTAAGTTTTTCTTGATTTAAATCTGAGAATTTTTAGTCACCTACAGTCTGGACAAAGCATTTGTGGAGAGAATCATTTATCGAAGATTTGAATTTTTTTCCCCCCTCCCATAAGCCCTTTTTTCTCCAAAGATTGTATTTTATCCCAGAATCCTCCTCCATGACTTAATTCCTCCTTAGCCAAACTTAAACAAGACACTTGCACAAAATATGTTTGAGTACACTGAAACCTTTAAAATAGTGAATATTTTTCTGAAATACTCGATTTTTCCTTTACAAGCCTAGCAGTAAGAAAGGTACAACTAATTCCTTGGAGAGATTTAAATGTGGTAACCTAAGATTTTAAGTTTTTTTGACTCAAAGTTAAAACAAACTATATTACCATATATTTTTTTCCTTTAGCCTGTTCCAATGGAAAATCCTTATAAGGAGCCTCTGAAAAAATGTATCTTGTGTGGAAAACGTGTAGATTATAAGAATGTACAGGTGAGATCTGGTTTTACTTCACCATGATACTTGATTTTGGGATTTTGGCTCCTTTATTAATACAATAGAGAAGCAAGTCAGTTTTTATAACAGGCTTTGTGTAGGGTGACTGTTTTAGCAACTTCATAATTTCAGATCTCGTTATACTTCTACGTATTGATACAAGGCATCTCTTTTATTCAAATAAGAGCCCCTTGGCTGTCCCTCATTTACTGTTAATTCAGCTTAGCATTCCTCTTTTTTCTTTGCCCAAAATGTCTTTACAGTAGCTCGCTGTGGCAGTGATTCTCAGTTGGTGGAGTTCAGTAATTTGGGAAAAGCTCCTCTGGTGAAGTTGATCTCTGTACCTCACCACCAATATCGCTATTTCAAATGTAATTTTATCTTTTGTTGAGCACTCAGCAAATTAAAAGTGGCAAATTTAGGGGAGAGAATGGTGCTGGAGCTAAGTATACTGACAGTAGTATAAAGTGATAGCTGCCTTAGTGGGAGAAAACCCAAGGAATTTTAAAATGCAATGTATTAGGATTATGCATAGTGCCTAGAATGATGCCTGGTACACAGAAAGTGCTAAAGAATTTAAATTAATAAAACCTAAATAACAGCAAACGGCCTGATGTACCTGTGCATCTTGAAGACCTCACTGTAGTCTGATATTATGTGATAGCCTATCATGATAGATGAAATGTTTTGTACCTTGTTATAAAAGCAACAGTATTTGAGAAAAGTTATCTGTGGAAAAGTCAAGAGAACAGCTTTAGCACTGAAAGAATACGCTCATTAATCTGTTGTATAGACTTTTTTGACACACTGGATAAGAGATGTCAACTTTAGTGATTACTTTAGTTATTTAAAAAGATGACCTATTAATAGAATGAACATAATTCAGTGTTTTTATTCATATTTTTGAAGTCTGTCTGAAATGTATTAATAAACCTTTACATAACTTGAAGGTGTGGCATAAGGTTTTTTTTTAATTTACCATTCAAGATTGAATAACAAGTGTATTAATGTAAATTTTTTTCCTTTTCAAATATAACTCAAAACAGCTTTTATCCCAGTTTATTTCTCCATTTACTGGATGCATTTATGGAAGGCACATAACAGGTATTTTGTTTTCTATATATTATAGCAACTTAAATGTAGGTAAGACTTATATAAAGCTACTTCTGTTATTTAAGGAAACTGGCAGATTTTCAAATAGTGCTACAAATTATTATGACACCAGATACTATGGCTAGTTTGAGAAAGCCTCTTCTTAGGCCAAAGGATAATTATTTTGCACGTCATCTTATACTCAGTTAACTACAGGCTGACAATATGTAGAAAACTTGGGCTTAAAAAAATTGCTTTGCTGTTTGGGAGTATACTATAATCATCCCCAGGCAATTATTTAAACCAGGGGCCTATTGCCTATAGGCCAAATCGGATCTGCCACTTGTTTTTGTAAATAGCTTAGTTTCCATAGTGTCTGAGCTACAACAGCAGAATTGAGTAATGATGACAGAGACTGTATAGCCCACAAAGCCTAAGATAGTTACTGTCTGGCTCTTTACAGGTTTTCCAATCCTTCCATGACATAGACAATTGTTATGCATTTTGATTACTGGCATTTTTTTACGAATAAGAAAGCAATTTCTTTTATAGGTCTTTGTGGGAAGAAACAAAAAGAAATCACAAAAGCAATTAAGAGAGCTCAAATAATGGGTAAGAGCATCTGAAAAACTGAATTATGCTAAACAAAATTTTGCTCATTATCTTTTGTGAAGAACTTTCATTATCTCTTTACAGGGTTTATGCCTGTTACATACAAGGATCCTGCATATCTCAAAGACCCTAAAGTTTGTAACATCAAATACAGGGAGTAAATTCTATAAAGTTATCATCAATAAATTTATTTTACAGTTGTGTGGTATTAATACTGGCTCAAACTGTAAGATTTAATAACCTTTCAGTAGAGAACTGATAGGCTAAATCTTATCAAACTATAAAGTATTATGTTTTTAATTCTTAATAATTTGAAATTATATGAGGAAAAAGTGTTTCAAGAGTGAAGTTTCCTCTCCATATCAGAATGTTCATTAAGTAAATCAGATTATTTAAAATGTTAATACTTGTTATATTTTACATACATATGAATTTTAAAAAGGTACTATGGGATTTTCACTTATATCTGGCCCCCAAATAGCTCATACAGCATACCACTGATAATGAGATGTTAAACATGGAAGGGATGACTTGTATTGGAATTTTACTTTAGGCCCAGATTCTGTGTTGTAAATAGTATTGTAGGGATATGGGTGCGGGAAAGTGGAATGCTTATATAATGTACAAATCCCACATGATAGGGTGTGGATTTGAAATTGCTAAGGAAGATTTCCTAACACGTAAATAATTATGCCTGGCTAGGACTATGGGTCTTCCCTCTGTAGAGATGTTACGTGGGGATGAACAGTGGTGCTGTCTGTCTCAGGACCTAACATTTACTCCTGGACTAGTCTATCACGAACTGCTAGTGTCCTGTAAATAAACCGATCCATAGGCAATCTGTTGTATCATCTTCTCTTACTCCAGTGATACAAACTGATCGCCAGAAGATGGAGAATAACCGAGAAAAAAATGTCCTACAAGGATTCTTTTCCTCCTTTTCATTGAGTACCCTGAAAGTTGGGACATCAAACTTAATTATTTTAACATTAGGGTTCAGAATGAACCCCATTTCCTCTCCTGCCCTGTGCTTCTTATACTAGTAAAGAAGCAATCCCAACAGCAACTCATTTTTTTTTTTTTTTTTTTTTTTTTTTTTTTTTGTG